CTCATACTTTGGACATATTGTCAGGAGGGACTGTCACTGGAGAAGGATATCATGTTTGGTAAAGAAGAGGGTCATTGAAAAAGAGGAAGACTCCCAATGAGATAGATTGGCACAATGGCATAGCAATGATTGTGAGGTTGGTCCAGGATTTAGCAGTGTTTTGTTCTGTTGTGCACAGGGTCATTATGAGTTAGTACTGATAGATGGCACTTAACAACAACAAAACTCAACATCATCTCTTGTTGGAAGTAACAAATTTCTACAAATCTCTCTGATACTCTCTATCCTCCTTTACCACCCAGTCTGTAGACAGATATCAGAATGATGTTATTAAAACTCTTTCAGAGTAAAAACCAAATTCTTTATAATGTTATAATGGTCAGCAAGGCTGTACATGACGTGCCCATCCACGTTACTTCTCTAACCTCATTTGTAATCATTTTGTTCATTGTTGCATCCGTGGCACCTGGAATGCGACCTGATACATAATAGGTGGTCATAAGCATTGCTGAATGAATTGCTGAATGAATCATAAGCATAGTCTCACTCAAGATAGAAAATGACAGACTAAAAATGAAATGCTAAAAGATAGGGCTATTTGAACAACAACAACAAAAAAGAAGCATTTAGGAACAAAAAGGACACCTAAAGATCATTCAATTCACTTCTTCATTTTGCAGGCTCTAAACTAAGTGTTTTAAAGCTTATGTGAATTATTCAAGGTCTTGCAGCAACCAGTGCTGATGACCTGTTCTTGCCCTACATTAATTCCTCCTTCCAAAACTTACTGTCTGTATTCAAATTTTCCTTCTGTGGCATGATTTATTTCAGAATTTTCTACACATTTGATATTTTGATTTCCCACTTGTTACTAAGCAGTTTAGCATGGTGATTAACAACACATGTTCTGGAAAGGGTCTCTGAATTTATTAACATCATGCTTGGTAAAGTGGAGGGTCAGTGAAAAGGAGGAAGACCCTCAACAAAATGGATTTGCACAGTGTCAGCAGCAATGTAATCAAGCGTAACAACAATGGTGAGGATGGCGCAGGACTGGGCGATGCTTCCTCGTGTCGTGCTGTAAGTTGCTATGAGTCGGAACCTACTGATGGCTCCTAATAGCACCAACAACAACTTTGCTTACAAGGAGCCCTGGCAATGTAGTGGGATACGAGCTCAAAACCACCAGCTTCTCAGTAGGAGAAAGATGAGGCATTCTTCACTGGTAAGCATTTACAGCCTCCAAAACAGGGTCACTATGAGTTGGAATTGACCAGATGGCACACTACCACCACCACCACTCTGTGATCATAATAAAATTATTAAATTTCTTTGTTCCTCAATTTCTTCATTTAAAAGGGGGGATAATGAGAATACCCCATAGGATTAACTTAATTAACATATTTAAAATACAACAAAATTTGGTCCATGTTGTTTTTAAAATGCTGTGAAGATGTTTCTGACTCATGAGGAACAGCTGGTAAGCTTGAACCACCAACTTTGTAAAAGCTAAATGAATTATGAATTATGATTAAAAGCATAATTGTTGTTTATGATGCTATGCACTGGAGGCATAAAACTATAATATAATAAACATCAAGGAAGGATGAAAAGGATAAAAAGAAGGAAGAAAAGTAAAAGAAGAAACAGAAAGGAAAGACAAAGGAAATTTACTCAAAGAGGTGAATTAATTATAATGTGCTCATCATATGAGCTTAGATTCCCAAAACTCAAGTTCTAAATGAATTAAACAAAGTCCATCTATTGCTTTCCTCTGGGCTTTTAAGGAAATTCAATTATTTCAGCCTACTAATGTGAAGGGATTAGGACTCCTGGTGTGGTGCTGTAGGATTAGCACTGGACTGGAAAACGCAAGGTCAACAGTTCCAACCCCCCAGCTGCTCCTTGGAAAGCCTATACAGGATCACTATGGGTTGGAACCAACTCAACAGCATTTAACAACAATATGAAGAGATGTGGGAGAAAGATGAGACTTTCTGCTGCCTGGAAGATGTAAAGCTTTAAAAACTCTATACAGGGTCTCTGAGTGGGAACCAACTCCACAGCCCTTAACAAAAATAACACATGTGAAGAACAATGGTAATATAAATAATGCTACTCTTAATACCTTAAAAATGTAGAAGCCCAAAGGAATTTTAAGAAAATTTTAAAAGATTATTCATTAGTACTTTCAAAATTAATAGATTTTGATCATTGATGGAATTGTGATTTTTTTTTTCAAAGATTGCTAGGAATAAAAAACCAAAGAAATTATGAAACATTTTTGCCTGTATTTCTGACTTCTCACCTGATTTTTTAGAATTATCCAAAATGAAATTATGCTTTAGTCTGTTTTCACTCCATCTCCAGAAAATATTACTCAAATAGAAAATCTATAGCAATGTTTATAAGTCCATTTGCCAAAGTAAAAATTTATACATTATATATAAAAATTCAAAATAACTTTTCTGGCATAAAATTATTATTATGATATTTAAACAAATTCTGATTCTCCACTAAATCATTATTATAGTTGTCTTTTAAATATTATAATAATTTTATTAAATTATTTCACTAAAATATCCTTAAGATATGGAAATATAGACTTGAACTATTACATGAGAATGAAGTAAGAGTGACAGAAAAAAAATAAAAGTAACCAGGGAATAATAGATCTAGCTTTCTATAGAAAGCACAAAACACTCTCATGTATAAATTATTTAGGCCTCATCCCCAGGACGTATCTAAGAAAAGAAGGTATGGCTGAGTGAAATTCTTTTAGAAAAATTACTTGAGCAAAAATTGATAAAATTACAGATTTGAATGAATGCATAAAAATAACATTGCTTCCTTAGTGGCCATCCAGAATGGAATGGGAGATGAATATAAGACTAAAACATATATAAAAACAAGCATTGTTATTAATATCAAAATGATATATCATATGTTAGAGTTTCTTATTATTTAGAAAAATGCACATATATGTTATCTTCTCTAGGAGTCTCTATACTTCCTGGGATGTTGGCATTATACAATGGCTGGCTCTGCATGTGGCACAACAGGACAGGACAAGAGACAACACATCACTGAGAGGTACTAGGGTAAACATGAAAATTGGAAAATCTTCATCCTGTAGGTACAGTCTTTGAAGGAAAAGATGTTGATGCTAGAAGCAGAAAAGTGCTAAGATTCAAAATAGCTTGGAGTGAGGGTTTACGGATTGTTTTTGTTTGAGGATTTCCTTCGACCACTTTATTGTCAAAAGGACTTTGAAAAGAAATATAAAATAGCAGTTATTCGTAACATTTTAAAAAGAAGATATGTTTAAAAGGATGGTGCTGAAGATTTTTTAACACTGTCAAGAATGATGGAATAATAGCTCAAGGAAAATGTGAAAAAATGCCATCATTTAAGACATTTAAAATCAAACTGAAGAAAACCACAAACATATAACGTTGGCCTTATTCTCCTTCCTATATAAGTGGCTAAGACAATGAAAGTATGACCTAAAACACCATTGTATTTCAAAGCCTATGAGCACCTCCAGACCACCCACTGGTGAGAAGAAAGAAAGAGGAAGATTGGACAAGAACCCATGATTCACATCAGGACAATTTGTTCCTGGCTCTGTTACAATGTTTCCAGGGTACTAAGAAAAGAGCACTTAACATGGAATCAGCACACTCTTATAGTGCAACTCGAGAGAAGTTTCCAGAGAACACAAGATGTTCTTCACTCCGCCCTACTTTAAATTGGCATAAATAATAATCATAATAATTTTTAAAATTAGAAATAATCCTAGTAGAAAACTAAACTATATAATCTATATATATGTCAGACAGGACCTTAGACCAGAGGTCAGCAAATTATGGTCCATAGACCAAATTTGGCCCACTCCTGGTTTTCTCATACAGAATTTCTATGAGTTGGAATCTATTCAATGACACTGGTTTGGTTTGGTTTTGGGTTTTGTACTACAATGATGGAGTTGAATCATTGTGACAAAGACTGCATGGCCCACAGCCTAAATTTTTACTACCCAACCCTGTACTAAGGTTAACACTTTCCTTAGACTAATAACTTTGAAAATATTAACTCAAGCATATCTAAGATAATTTATGCAAAACTGATGCCTTCTCCCAATTTTAAAGATTAAAAATAATTTCAATTTGAATACATTACGCCAGCTTCCCATTAAGTCCAGTCTAAGATATCACCCGCTAGGTTACACCCAAAATAGTGTAATGGTGAATAGTAGAAGCACTAGAATGAAAAAGAGCTTAGTTTGAATCCCAGATTTGCCATTTACCAGCTGTATGGTCTTTGATTTTTGTTAGTTTTATGTCACTTCTAATCTTCACCTTCCCCTTGAAATAAAGTGAAAAATATAACCTAGTCCAACAGAGCTCATGTGAAGAATAACTTCTATAAAAATTTACAGCCTTTGAAACTCTATACGCAGTTCTACTCTGTCTTATTGGGTTGCTATGAGTCTGAATAAACTCAACAGCAACAGGTTTCAAAGTACTTACTACAGAGCCTGGTACATTGGAGATACTCAAAAGTTTGCCTACTTTTATGATTACTATTACTATCAAAAGAGTAAAACTCAGGGAAATCAATTTTCTTCTTGAGACTGAGTATGAAGGTGACAAAACACAAATATATTACTTGTTAAGAATTACCTGCACAAATTTTTCCAGGATCTCTACAAAGAAGGTCTTCCGTTCCAGGACTTCTGGTTGAGTTCCCATCTGCCACAACATAGTGGAGGATCACTAGACCTTCAAGTTCAAAACAGAACCAAAACAAACATGAACACTTGAAAATGTGGTTAATGAGAAGAGTCTATTCATGGTGTGACCCCTTTTCAAGTTATTCTCCCACAGCAAGTAAGGGGTGGACAGGCCAACATGTTCTCATCTTGTTTTTTTTTTTTCAGCACAGTGCTAAAGACAAAATTCCCATATCAGCAGCACATGAATCTGATTCAGTGGCAGAATTCTTATCGTTCATGTGGGAGGCCAGGGTTCTATTTTTGGCCAATGCACTTCATGTGCAGCCTCTACCTGTCTGTCTGTGCAGGCTTGTGTGTTGCTACCATGCTGAACAAGTTTCAGTTGTGTACAAGACTAAGATGGATTTAGGAAGAAATATCTGGCAATCTACTTTCAAAACTAAACCAATGAAAATCCTATGGATTACATTAGCCCAGCCCTCAAAAGCTCATGGGAGAGAACCTGCCAGAGTTTTGCTCTGTTGTACATGTGAGTTGAGGTCAACACAATGTTATCTGACAACAACATACATTGAGGAGACTTGATCATAGCTTGTGATGAAGTCTTATCATAAAATCAGACTATGAAATCGATGTGAGTTCTTAGTCTAGTCATTAGATGTACACAGATGAATACCAAGACAGAGTGGATGATGAACCACATGTCAATGTACCTTCTTCATTCCACACAGACTCAGTGTTCCCCAAGTAATAACAATCGAATGTGTCTTCTTCTGGGCACATGAAACCTAGATATTAGATTCATTGGAAAGATTTTTAATTGCTGGTTTCTCCAGGTACATATCTCTGTCTCTGAGGGGGATATGTCTCATAGGGAGTTGGTAGAGAGGAGTGTTATATTGTGCTTAGAATGGCTTAGAATGAAACTTATAGTCCTTTTGTGGATCCTGATTCAAAGAAACTAGATGCACTAATCATGAAATTCATTATTTTCAGGAAATTGTATGAGATAACCAGGAAATTTGACACTGGATAATAGAAGATATCACAGAATTGTTATAAATATTTTTTATAGTCTGATAATGATTCTGTGGTTTAGTCTCTAAGACTGAAGTCACCTAAAAGTAAGCAGTTCTGAGGTGGGGCATGATGATGTAACATTACATCGCTTTCAAGTTAGCTACTTCTGCGTTCAAGACCTGTTTTTGCCACTCTACAGTCTCCATTTTCTCATCAGTATGAAGGTTATAGGTTCTACTTCAGAGAATCCTTGAAAGTATTCAAGATTAATATGCAAAGCAAAACAGTGCCTGGCATGTAATCAATGCCAATATAAAAGCTCATTATTAGGAAACAGACAGGAATTAAAAAACTTGTTTACTGATTGTATAGAAATTGATAAATCCAGCCAATACTTCCAAAACTATGTGTATTTTCCAATCCAGTTCACTTCAGCGAGTATCCATGAGCATCCCAAAACACATACGTAAATAAGGTATTGTCTTATTTGCTTTCATATTCAAGTTGCTCTAATTCTATTAATACAGGCAATCATACAACCAATTAACAATAACTCAAACTGATAGTATAGTACCAGATAATGATAGCAAATTCAAAGATCAAAATAATTTTCCAAAGAAGTTTTTCCAAATAGATACAATTTTACATATCAAATTAGATTTTTTTTTTTTTTTTTTTTTTAGTTCTTTCAGTTTGGTAGATGCAATATATTCTTGCAAATTTTAAGAAAGAGGTGTCACCTGAGTTGGAACAGAAAAGAGGAATAGATTCTTAAGTCCATTTGCTTCTATTGTTTTTGTTAAATGTCATTGGGTCAGTTCCAGCTCATAGCCACTCTATAAACTACACAACAAAATTCTGTCCAGTCCTGTACCACCCACACAATTGCTTTTATACTTAAGCCCATTGCTGCTGCCATTGTACCAACCCATCTCATTTGGGGTCTTCCTCTGTTTCTCTGACTTTATACTTTACCAACAATGATGCCCTTCTCTAGCTACAGGTCCCTCCTGACAACATGTCTGAAGTATGAGAAACAAAGTCTCACCACCACTGTTGTTGCTGTTGTTATGTGCCATGGAGTCGGTTCTGACTCATAGCGGACCCTGCACAGGGTTTCTGAATCTGTAAATCTTTATGGGAGCAGAAAGCCTCATCTTTCTCCCGCGGAACAGCTGGTAGTTTCGAACTGGTGACCTTGTGGTTCACAGCCCGATTCATAACCACTACACTACCAGAACTCCTTCACCATCAATGGTGGTGGATAAATTAGTACTAATTCACAAAGGACAATTTGAGATTACATGAAAACAAGAAATATGTATATATCAAAACAAAAAGATTTAAATTCAATAATTACACTGAATTTTTCCACAGAAAATAACTAATGACACATGAGAAAATTTAACTAGAAAAAAATGCTTAATGTGGCATAGATTATAAAAATAAAAATTACAAATTTAAGTGTTAACAATAGAGGATTAAGTAAATACACTGAACTATCATCAAAAAAGATGGGAAGGAAGGCTGGTGATGTAATGAGTATTACTGAGTTGCTAGTAATCAAAAGGTCAACAGTTCGAACTCACCAACTGTTTTTAAGGAGAAAGATGTGACAGTCTGAACTCCTAAAGACTGAAGTCTTGCAAAGTTAAGAGGCAGTTCTAATTTTACTGCTGTTGAATTGAATCAGTCTCATAGTGATCCTATAGAGTAGAATAGAATACTTCACAGGGTTTCTGAAGCTGTGAATCTTTACAGACACAAACTGCTTCATCAATCTCTTGCAAAGCAGTTGTTGAACTTGAACTACAAAACTTTTCATTAGCTACGCAGTGCTTACCCCACTATGCAACCAGAGCTCTTTACTCTGTGTCCTATATGGTTGGAATGAATCTGATGGCAATAGGTTTTGTTTTGCGGGAACTTTTTTTTTTCATCATCATACAGTGAGATGCTATATAGTCATAAAAATAACGAAGCATTATAAAATAGTAATTTAATGTGATGTGTGTGTATTTGTGTGGTATGTTTCAGTACCTTGAATTTACTTACTATGGCGTTTCTATTCAATGTCTTAATTCCCACCAAGTAATTGGGGAGGATCATGCAAATGAGGTACGCAGGACTTTAAGGCTGGAGTACTGGTATGGTGCTGGAGAATAAGCCATTGACGGCAAGGTCCCTTTGAACCATAAAGTCAGCAGTTCAAACTTACCAGCTGTTCCTTGGAAACCTTATACAGTGTCACAATGAATCTGAATTGATGGCAGTTAACAACAAGTTAACAACAATAATGCTGGAATTGGTTAGTTTTTATATCCAGATAGACTTAAAATGAGACATCTTAGAAGCAGGAATGGAAGATCCCAGGACCATCAAGAAGGAAGAGTATGCGTGGAGTGTGACCTTATGCACAACAAAATGAAACATTCCCCAGTCCTGGACCAACTTCACAATCGTTGCTGTACTTGAAAACATTGGTGCTGTCACTGTACCAATCCATCTCATTGTACTGGATGGTGGTATTCTATGGAGTCAATTCCAACTCATACTGACCCTTTATAGTGTTTCTGAGGCTGTAAATCTTTATGTGAGCAGAAAGCCTCATCTTTCTCCCATGGAACAGCTGTTAGTTTCAAACTTCTAACATTGAGGTTAGCAGCTTGACTTGTAACCACTACACAATTTACCAAGAGTGAGGTCTTTCTCCAGGAACTGGTCCCTCCTGATATAGATCCAAAGAAGCCATGTTATCCTCTAAGGAGCATTTTGATTGTAGATCTTTCAGCACAGATTTGTTTGTTATTCTAGCAGTCCATCATACTTTTAATATTCTTCTCAAACACCGTACCTCAAGTGCATTAACTCTTCTATGGTGTTCCTTATTCACTGTCCAGCTTTGACATGCATATGAGGTTATTGAAAATGCCATGGCTTGGGTCAGAGATACCTTAGTCCTCAAACTAATATCTTTGTTCTTGAACACTTTAAAGAGATTTTGTGCAGCAGATTTGCCTAATGCAATTTGTCCTTATTTCTTGGACTTCTGCTTCCACGAGTGTTAATGATGAATCCAAGCAAAATGAAGTCTCTGATAACCACAATCTTTTCTCTATTTATCATGATGCTCTTTATTGGTCCAGTGGTGAGAATTTTTGTTCTCTTTACATTGAAATGGAACCCACACCAAAGGCTGTGATCTTTGATCTTTATCAGTAAGAATTTTAAGACCTCTTCACTTTCAGCAAGCAACGTTGTA